TCTGAGGCGATAGAATCCCTACTACAACGGAGACAGTTGGTTTCGCAGTCATCGTCGTCATCATTAGTACCATTAACATATGTTGACCTTAGATGCGTATTAAATTTGGTAGAATAGCGATGTCGCCGTGGCAAAGGTCCCGAGGGTAATCCGTTAGATAAACGTATTTCCCTTCGGGTTTTCTTACACAATGATGACAGAAGCAAGTGTCGACACAGTCGATGTTTCGGACGGATCAGTGACCAACGATTTGTAGTAAAATGTGACATAGTAGATGGACTCGAACTCAATTTCGGAAATAGCAGTCTTTTAGGATTGGAACAAGTGGGTCTGTTGAGGCCAAGGCTTCCTGAGCAGATCAACGCACCGGTCATACTGTTGTGCCGACGTCGATGACGCCATCTGATTCTTTTTTCTCGGGGCCCATCTGATTCTTGACACCGTCCACTATTTGTTTCTGTCTCCATAACTCCTCTCCGCCTTCTCCGCTTATGACGGCGCCTCCGACGTCTCTTATCATCCTCTGTGTTTAATATGTGCGTTTCTCTCTCCAAAATAACTAATTCATCTGATTTCTGTTCTCCTTGCTCTTTCCACTTTCTTGAAACATTCTGGGATCTTCGCTTTCTACGCTGAGGCTTTTCCTGTCCGGATTCTATGATCCTTCGATCCAGCCTACCGACCCGTTTCGCAGAATTCCGCTTAGCCCTCTTCACCTCCCCACATCTAGTGGCTTCTTCTTCATCCTCTTCCTGAAGATCCGATCTGTTAATCCCATTTATGGAGCTAATAGCAGCCCAGTTGACTTCTTTTTCATCAAATCTCGAAATTGCTGAGCACCCAGAAGTGCTCATTCCTGTGTGTGGATTGATATTTATATCATTAACGGAGATAGAACTGGAGGCTGCAGATGTAGCTGAAGAGGAAGCTGTAACTCCAGTAGACACGGAACGACTTATACCAGTTTCGAAGCAGGGGCCTATGCGCCGGCGCCTCTTTAACCAGCCGCGATCAGATCCAGCTTTTGCGGATCCATGAGGAGGTATCCCATCCAGCTCGACTTTAGTTGCTACCATCGTTTTTATATCAACAGTGGTAACACAGCCA